TGCTGATCCAAAAGCCACATCTGAATCATTCCAGATTTGTGCTGTGAATGATTATTTTGTTGTAAGAGACATGGGGCTTTAAAAGGTATCCCAATGTAAAGGAGATAGTTTTTCCTAAAGACATGTCAGTTTATTCATCTTTGCACTCTTGCCAGGAGAAAGCAAAGGAAGAAGCTTCTTTTGAAGATAGGGAGTATCAGAATTTTTCTAAAACACCTGAGGTGTGCTTGAAAAAAACTAAGCAGCCAAAACACTCATGTTTATTCTTTTGTCATGTTAGTGGAATGACTGACTATATTATTACTAGGATGACAGGATAATTCAGGTTGCTTGGGACCTCAGAATGCCTCTGGTCCAACCACCTAATCACAGTAAGCTCAGATACGATCACAGACAAGGTTTCCCAGGGCTCTATCCAGTTAGGTCTTGAAAATCTCTGCAGATGGAGACTGCACATCCTCAATTCCATTGCTTGACTGTTGTCTTTAGGAAAAACTTTCTCCTTATATCTGATATGACCCTTTCTTGTTTCAACTTATACCTGTTGTCTCTTGTCCTCCTGCCATGCACCATTGTGAAAGGCCTGGGTCTGTCATCTCAGTAAGCTCCTTATAGGTACTGGCAGGCTGTTATTAGGTCCCCTCAAAAACTCCTCTTCCTCATGCTGAACCAGCTTCTCTAATGCTTCAGAGCCAAGCATCTTGGCGGCCCACAGCTGACCTTGCTCTACTTTACCAATGTCTTTTTGTAATGTGGGTACCCAAACTGTGGTCTAAAGTGTGCAAAGTAAAGAATAATCACTTCCCTTAAAAAAGTCCAGACTGCTGTTAGCTGCCTTTGCTGCCAGGGTACATGGCTGGCTTGGCTTCACTTCATCATCATCCATGAAAATCCCTGGGTGCTTTCCCACAGGTTGCTCCTCAGCCAGTTGGTCCTTACCATCCTGAGAGGGCACATGCAGCCAAGGGACTCCCCTTTGTTGTCCAAGACATCCGTAGATCATCTCAGTAGCCCTGATCACAGGTATCCTGAATGACAATCAAATCATTAAGTCACTATTAAAAGACAGCATGACAATCTCTCACAGTCCCTATGGCCCTTGGAAATGGAAAGTGCTATTGGAGGCCAAACATCACTAGGGGACATGGCTGATGTGGAAGGCAGGGAGGAGACAAGTCTCAGAGACATGACTCCAGTTTGTGAAAGTGTAGCTGAAAATGAGAAAAGAAGCCAGGTCTGACTGACAAGTTTCTCATCAGAGGTGGGAGTTCCTCCCTGTAGAAATCCAGGAACCTTGGCCCAAAGGTGTACCTATGCCATTTCTTCCTTGTGCACTCCTGTTCCCGCCCTCTTATCCAATTAGTATTTTGGTCTCTGAGCTAGGATGATCCCAGAAGGGTGTCTTAGGGTCCCAGGCGTCCATAGGCTTATTTGCATGTGCCAATGCAAATTCGGAAAGGCTTGTCTTCTTGAGATGAGGGTGTGTGGCTCATCTCCAGCTCATCCAATATTTTTATCAGAGGCCACCCAGCAAAAATGGAAGCTTTTGCTTATCTGTTTTGCTCCCAGGTATTTTTCTCCTCGGACTATTTCCAAACAGTCTAATTCAAATGAATTCAGCTCTGAGCAGACCCATGGCTTGCCACACCTTGGGATGGTATCAGCAGCTACCTTGGCTTGTGTTTCAAGGAATGGTGAGCATTTTGTCGTCTCAGCTTGGATATGACAAATGTCATTGACAGAAGACAGCTCTCTTCCAGTGGGACTATACAGTACAGCAGAGACAAGAGTATCACCACTGCTATCAGTCAAGTGAACTGGGAACTTTTTCCAAACTCCTATGGGTGAGACCTTCCAGAGTTGAAAAGGTAATTTTTATCTTCTTCAAATTGTTTGCACCAATAAAATAAAGAGTATCATGTTTTTACCCTTGAATCATGCCTAATAGTAGAGGAAGGAGAGAGCCTCTTGTAGCCTTATTTCTTTAGGCAGTGCAAATCTTACTGGCTTCAGTGCACTTTGCATCGAATTCATTGCTGGAAGAAAAAAGACACCATAGTCCCTCCCAGATTCCTTGGCTAACTAGGTCTCCCTACACTCTGTCTGCAGCTATTAGAAGCTTATTTACAGGATCCTGGATTGGCTGATTTGACCCTGCTGAATTAGATCCCTAGGGGATAATCAGAGAAGTAGTTGATTATGTGTACAAGTGCACAAGACATTCATAACTGTCTATTTCCATCTGGACATGCTTAGAGAAGGTGGGACATCTGCACGGGCCATACAATTGCTTTTCTGGACTGACAACTAGAAGGAAGCTGGGATTCCTGGGGCATCCGAAATAATACTAGAGGCCCATATTTAGGCAAATGAATCAAGCCCTCGGCAAGAACAAAAGGTGTGTTCCATCTAGCAAAGCCAAAAGCTCCTCCTGAAGGAGATGCCTGCTGAAGGCCAGATGAGAAACTCTGCAGACTTCACTGCACAATTTGCTTAAGTATGCATCAAATGTAATGGGAGATCAGACACCTGGCTTACTGAGATAGAGACCAAATTTAGGTATTGATCTTAAATGTTTAGTGAATATTTATTGTGAGTGAAGATAGGGCATCCCAAAAATATCCCTGAAAACACAGGTACAATGTCAGTGCCCTGACATTGATATATTCCAGTGGTTTACAGTGAGGTCGATGACTAAGCTCTAAAAGACCTTGTGAAAGCAAACCCTGCAGTTGAATGCCTATTGCCAGAGACATTAGTTCACTACCTCAGCTGCCAAATTTTTTTTCTGTTCAGACCTGATAGATGTCTGGATTTGATCTGGACAATGTAGATCTGAAGTCAGGTATACGGATTACACCACAGTCCTGCAAAATTTTGGTTGTCCAATTCACAGGGTCAAGATAAGACTTCTGTAGCCACACTGTGGAACTAGAAAGACGCATTGCTAATGGCATCTAGATCAGGGCTAGACAGATCTGATAGTTCTTCAATTCCAGTTTTGGTACCTGGACTCCTTAGTTCTTGTGAAGAGCATGAAAAGAACTTGTTATACCCTCTTATTGCTTGCTGGCTACAATATCCCAGTCCATGTCACTGCTGTGGGATTCAGGCTACTGAATTTTGCACTGTGTCTGTCTCTGCAGAAGCCAGTAACTCAAGTGGACTTTATGGTCAAGGGACAAAATAGGTGTTGGATGCAGTTCCCCTTAGAATCAGATGTTTCATACTTTGGATGCCATTGACTGTACTGACCAGTTCTCCAATGATCACAGAAGGAACTAGCTCTAGCTGAGACTTGTGAAGAACTATATAAAATCAAGTGAGTCTCACTAAAATGGTCTTTGAAAGACTAGTATCCTGTGCCTAGATCATACTTTTTCTCCATTTACAGGACAAGTTCCACCTTCCAGTGATGGTTACCTTGGTTATTTATACTGCCCCTGAGACTCCAGTTGTGGCTGAGATCTATATGGTGCTAGGTATCATGGTGATACACATGACCAAGATGATCCCTTTCCTGCAGTACTAGGGAAGTCTCGTGTGACAAAGGGCAGGCTTCACAGCATAAGAATAATAAATAGTGAGTCACTCTGGCTAAGCACTCCAAGGGCAGATACAGCTGTTTCCACAAAGTTGTGTTTTGTGTCTATTAAGAAAAAGAAAATACACCAGTATAGGAGAAAGAAACCAGTCCAGTGGAATTGTTGCTGTGTTGCTGCACTGTACTTGTACTTCAGAGCTGGGTGCATGTTCACAGTGATGAGGAAAAGCTAAGCTGAATCCTAGCTCTTCAATATCAAAATGTGAAAGGCGGGTTGGTTTCAGAGCTAACACGGACTATACTGACTCATTCTATGGAGTAGGATCTTACTGCACCTAATAAAACCAAGTGAATGGCACAGGCAGACAGGTGAACTTAAGGAAGCAATAAGAAGATATCGATCAGTTGACAGATTTGAAGGGAAAGAAAGAGACTTCAAAGCACTATTTCCATGGAGATTACTTTCAATGGCAGCTACTTTCCACTCCCTGTTTCTATGGCAGCTTTCATCAGGAGATCTTAATGGCCAGGTCCTTGATGTGGAGGAAATAAAGGGAAAGATAGGAATTGCCGCTTTATTGGGAACCAGAAAGGGATACTGAGAGGGCAAATGTGAGCCTGACACCAATTCTACTGACACTGGTAAAAGTCCTTCAAGAGACTTGAAATGTATATCTAGAAAATAGACTGACAGTGACCACTTTGTAAATACAGAGGCCATAGATCGTGCGCCTCAGGTTGTGGCTCCAGAGGAACCAGAACATGAGCTCCGGGACACAGATACTCCACTTCTTGTTGCTGACCAGGAGGGTTTGGTGCCCACTGAAAGGTTAGTCAGCCTACAAACTAGTCATAGGTTGTCTACAGGGCAGCCATGTACAGAAAAGATAGAGCTCACTGTGTATAATATGAAGAGCTATGGATTGAGCCCCATGTATCCAATCTCAGACAGGAAACCCTCAGCTGGTGTAAATGACATCCCTTCCACTAGCTGCCACAAAGTAGTCACCTCCTAGGACTTTGTCTGATATAAACTAGACCCTGCCTTTTTATCTTAAGTCCTGACCTTTATGACCCCTCCAGAGATGCTGTGTTCCGTTACACACTTATCTATCTCCACCGTTCTCCCCTGCTCTGCAGTCTCTGAGAATACAAAAGAAACACACCTTCACAATAATTTTTTATTGCTTTTCTGGGGATAGTCTGAAATCTTGCTCTTAAAAGGCTGATGGTAGAAATTCAAGCTTGATTTTCAACACAGTGCTGTAGAGAAAATGGGCTGTGGCTGCCTACCTCAGGCATAACAGACTTCAGAAAGCTTCCATGGCAAAACAAGTAGAGATATAGTATATGTTAGCATGTCAATCACTTCAAAATTAACCTAAGCAGTATCCCATTAATGCTATATATCCACCATACTGGCTTGAAACAGGGTCCAGTTCTGGAAGGACTGAAAATCTCTGCTTTGGACAAATACTAATTGGAAAAAGGTTTTTATTTTTTGTGAAAATACACTTCTGGTAGCAACAATAATCTGCAATTACCGACAGTACATGCTGCATTGCAAATCCCTTTTTCATCCCAGACTGGCCTAGAGGCAGAGCAAACACAGAGGTACTCAATCCATATATTCTAACCTGTAGATATATCTATCCCCTCAAACACAATATGCCGGGAGGCTGTGCATCACTATTGTGAGGCATGCAATGAATAAAAGCACTGACACCGTCCTCTCTCATCACTTTTCTTTCCCAGCTACCATGAAGACAGTTTGCCTCACTTTGCAGAACTCAGGGCACTGACAGCAGTGAGTGGCATAGGCAGGCACATTTCCAGTGTTATTTGTAGCTCTGCCACACGGGGATCTGTCATGCTAGTTGGCATGCCACATGGAAGGCTGTGTGAAGACTCTTCCCTTCTCCTCCTCTTTGGCAGAGATGATAGGTCTAGCTAGACAGAATCTCAAATCTCCCTCCTCCCTTAGTTATCTCATTGAGGCACATGAATACAAATGAGAGCTAGGAGGGAGAAAGTTACAAAATTTTAATTTGTTAATTTAAATTTGCTGTGCATTGCCAACCAGCTCAAAGTTGAATGTGATCGTGCTGTTAGGACAGGATGCCTCCAGAAATAGGGGATTAGCATGAGTGTCTTCCAAGATAATTTCCATCCCTGTGTAGTCTTGAAAACTAAAGAAAGACCAATTTAAATCTGGATATTTAAATCCAGCTTGTGCTAGAAATTCCTCTAAAACATGCGAAGAAAATTCAGAATAAGCATGCTGAAGTGGAAAGAGCAAATTACTCCAACATTGGTGAGATACAGGTGACGGAGAATATATTACACAATTTGCTTTTTTCTTTCTGCTGTTGTGAAGCCCGGTGGAGGGAAGGGGAATGAAGAAGGAGACGGATCCGGTGTTACACCATGAGCTGAGAAGGGAGGCAGTTCATCTTTCATTTAAATACCCTCTTGCTTAGATTTTATCATGAGGTTGTTCTTTGTATTGGCTTATTATCAAACAGGATTTCTTTCCCTGATCTTAGATGTGAAGCCACTCTCAAGACAGGTGTCCTCCTTCTTTCCAGAGTAAAGAAAATGATGCCTGGTTTTATTGAAACCAACCCAGAGTAGTGTTTATTATTGAAAATATACAGTATTTTTGAACATCACATAAAAAGCCTAGTAGATACATCTGCTCTAGTTCAAAATGCTCAGTAGATAATCTTTGTGCAGCATGTAGCACTATCCTCATAATGCAAACATCCTCTTCTCATTATTATTTTTACAGTACTTCTATTTTATATTTTTTAAACCCAGAAAACATTTTCTGTTGTCCTTCCCCACCCCAATCCTCTTAGCTGAAAAAAAACAAAGACTTTCCAAAGGCTACTTACATTGTGTTGAAAGCGTGGGGCTAAGAGGAGTAAGGAGATTTTATAGAGCTATCTAGAGATATTGTAGTCCTTTTCAAAATTATGTGTATGAACAGGGTGTAGTTCTTGCAAGGCAAAGTGCCCTGTGTTAAACAGTCTAGCGATGCCCTGGCCAACTCCCAGTCTATCAAAGGGAGAAGTGGGGAAGGTAGATAACTTTAGATTTTTCACACCACCTTCCAAATGCTCTTTTTCTTGCTGCCACAGGTTCTCAAATGACAGTTCTGCAGAGAAGAAGTTTTTACAAAGAAACAAGAAAGAGTTGGGCTATCTATACACCAAACTGTTGAAATCATTGGGAATCAATGTACAGGGTGAGATGGGCAGTATGACAAAATTAGTCTTTGTTCACCGCAATACAGAAGGGATAAACAAAAAAGAAAGGAGAAAAAAAAATGATTGTTCCTGCCAGTGTGCTGTTTTAAACGTTGTATTTTGAACTTCCACAAGGTGCAGTCAGTGTTGAATCTCTTTCTTCTTTGAAACTGTTTCACCACCACCTAGTCCAAGAGGCTTTTGCCTGGTTGCCTTAAAGCAGCATCACAAATATGGGAGATGAGAGTCCACAAAAATACGATGGGCACCTCATTGTGAAAGAGAGCAGTGCAGAATAAAGGAAGAAAGTTTGAAGAAAGGGGCTTGGGGGGAGTGAAGAAAGAGGAACCCTGAAGGCCACCAAGTGGTGTGTGTATGTGCAGGGCATGTCACACGGCTGCGGTCTGTTTGATGCTATGGAAGCTGATTCGTGTCGGAGAGGTGGGGATAGACATGGCACGTGCCACACGCACTCGGAGGGAGTGATGGTCTTGCCAGCGGTGCCACCTTTTCCTGGCAGCAGAACGGACCTGGTGGGGAAAAAAAAGGAAAGAACATGAACACTTAGAATATTCAGGTGTCCTCTGTAAAGGGACACTAGACAACACTGAGACAAACGAGGACACCTCAAGCCACTGAAACATGCAGGGCTTGATTCAGCCGCCTAAACGTGGGCATCTAGTTCACTTGTTATTCTCCTGGGAGATGTTTCCAGATATTTCTCTCTGAGAAAAGGATGGGTTTCACATATCTCATGTCTCATAGCTGATGTCCTAAATACCCCAGAGCATTTAAAATGGCAATAAATGCCCAAGCTTATGCAACTGAATCAAGTCCCTAGGCTATCTATAGTTGCCTCTGCTTCTCTTGTATACAAAGAATCACAGATCATATAAGTAAACATTGGCGTCTACAACCCAGACACACCTGACCTAATCCCTGTGAGCATCTTGTATAGGCAGTGAAAAGTTACACTACGGTCAACAGGTCATCCTCAAGCAGATATTTATAAATAAACCAGATGAATCTTGAACTTTAAGTGCATTTTGTTTTGCATGGACCATAGAAAGAGCCCAGGAACTCTAGCTCAAATATATATGCATGTAAGTGAGAGAAAGGCAGGTGATAGGACTCCTATCTTCAAACACAATAGGAGGGAAGGTGTGAGATACTCCTAACATAGACTGTAACCAATTCTTGCAAAATACCTGGCAGAGAAGACTCAGAGTCAGAACCTGGAATTAAACATTTAGACTAATTTCTAGATATTCTTGTTGATCTCTGTTTAAGGTAGAGAAAGCAATTCAGACCCCTAGCCTAGGCAGCTAGGTAAAACTATGAAATTAGGTGAGATGGATCTGGGCCCAGATTCTTGGACAGTCAATGGGTAATCGTACTCATGACACTTGGAAAGGATGTTGACATTCTGCTGCCAACCTGAAACACAGTCAACTTTAGAAAAAGAGCATTTTTACATACAACTTCCAAAAGTGACATACTTTAGAAGGTGGAGTTATAAATAATATAATGTCGACATTACACCTCAGCTACTGACCCATATCTCTCCTCCTGACCAAGAGAGAACCAGTCAATATTGTCAATGGGTATGATTCATCTCCTCCTAAAGCAGATGTCAAAAGTAGGCCAGATACTGTGGTCAGATTAAAAAATACCTATTTCTTTTCATTAGTTATAATGTCAATCTAGGCAACTAGCTCTGTTTTAGATATCTGGATTATAGATGTAGCTAAATTTAGACAATAATGTCATCTTATCCTGGATGTTTTTGTCTTTAACGTAATTATCTTCACCACATCCCTCAAAAGTAAAGGAGTGCCCTTATCCCCCATTTTACGACTGGCAGGTTAAAGTCTGGCTATTAATAGCAGTGATGCTGTTGTAGAGTAGACCTCAACATGGATCAGCTACCACGGCAACTGTACAAGGCATGGGATGACCTTGCACAGATTGTGTGAAACCCATGCTGACATAGCTTCTCAGCTATCAGCACCTGAGTGAGGTAGATCAAAGCCATCCTGGGTGTATCTACAATCACCACTGGGACTGCAGGGAATATGGTGTAGAAACAAATTGTCCAAAGCTGCATAGCCACTGCTTTTCTCCATTTCTTTTAAAGCTTGGGGTTTGTCTTCAAGTGCAGTGTGAAGTGTACTCAAAACACAAGGAACATGCACTCCCCAACCCCACTTCACACCAGCCCCAACATGCTGTCTAGTGGGTGCTCAAATGAGTTGATGAGCTCTAGTAGCAGAGGTATTTCCCACCTGAACCACACACTGTTAGTATTAAGTGTCCTAGATGAACAGGAATGATGGCTGGATGGTTAAAACATACAACAGTTCATAAGGAGGACATAGGAAGGGGGGATCTGCACTCCTTCTCTCAGATGGTTTCAATCCTCTCATTTCTTGGTGGGCCTTCAGGGACCTAGACAGACCCATAGTATGTAGCACTACTACTTAGAAACTCTGCAGTGCTGAGGTCTGGCACCTAACAATCCCTTCTCCTCACCAGATTTGTCTGTCAAATACACCCCATTGCAGTTTTGTGAGTATCAACTTGGAAAACAGTTTTGCAATTGCCCTCTTTGGTGCCTTGTCAGGGGAATCCTGAAGCTGGAAATCTTACTTTCCTATCAGAGCCATTCTAGAAGGTACAAACCAGGGAAAACGGACCTGAGGATCTCTTTCTTTCTTTGTTTCCTTGACTGTGTGATCTATGCTGCTTGATCTGAAACTTAAGACAAATAGATGAAGGTGTTTATGGTAAGGTGAGAAGAGTGCCACACTGGGTTTCTTTCTTTTCATTTTGAATCATTTATTTGTTTTAATATAAAATAATAATAGGTTTTACACTTAATAGGTAGAACAGACCCTAGAAAAAATGAAGGCTATGAGGGGACAGGACTGCTTGCATGGAGAAGAGTAGGAGTGAACATCCAAGTGAAAGAAGGATTGAAGTTAAAAGACAGAATTACCAGGAGGATAGTGATCATCATGAATGAATTTGTGATGAAAATGAGAATAATATGGTTAAACAACAGTGTAGGTGATTTCTGGAAGTCTCTCATTATGAAGTAGTAGGTACAACATGGCTCCACTAGTTTCAAAATGGGGTTTGGTCAGTTTACAAAAGGAGTTAAATGAGATAGTTCTATGAGATAGCCAGAGTCAGGATGGGTTGACTCATCCATATGCTACTACAGTAGAAGCCAGCCTGGGCTGCTGACTTTCACTGTATCATCAAACTGACCTCACTGGCTCACTGAACGTTCCTGTTAAAACACATGAAATGGTGGAAAGAAGATGTGTCATAGTGTTGCACCTTCCTGGATGCTCAGTATTTGCAAACCTATCGCAGTTCTACCTGGAGTGGGCAAGAGATACTTATTCCTGATTGTGGATTTAAGGGTGCATATAATACACACCCAAAGACAAATATATGTGCCAGAACACATGCAAGGTGGGGGATGCATCTCATCTGAAAGCTTGATACCTAGTCTTGGATAATTATTTATGCTTTCAGTATGGACAATGGAGAAAGAGAGATGATCACCCCTAAGGAGGTCACTTATATGTGTAGAATGAATAAATCCTTGCTCCAACTTGCTCCTCTGAGTACAAAAATAGCTCAGCTAAATGTTGGGCACCTAAGGCAACTGGTATAATTAACATGTAAAGTCTCAGAGGGTGTAACCAGTATCCTGAAATTGTCCCATGAAGAACATGGGACTTTCTCTGCAGAGGGATGTTGCCTCTCAAATGCTCCTTTCTCCTCAGATGTCACCAAATGCTGAGAAACTATTAGAAAAAAAATTTTCCTCGTTCTGCTGCAGTGAAACACAATTGTACAGGGAGACTGTGATTCACTTAAGTCCTTCAAAGAGGTGAATTTCTTCATCTCTGGTGAAAAAGCAGAGAATAAATCTCTGTGTACAGCACAGTCTTGCTAAATATGTTGATAGCAGACTGGCAGTCCTGTGCATTCAAGTATCCCAGGTAGTCCTGCAGCAGCATTTCATGGGGTCATAAAAAGGAAGAGTCACCCGGTGGGCTTTTTGTATTTCTGAGCAACTTGTGTGAACAGATACTTACTCAGCCAGCGAAGCCAGATTAGATTTATCATTTGTGCTTCAAACCAATCAAGTCAAAAAGAGTCACCTGGAGATAAAGACGTGAGTCTGAACAAGCAGTTGTTCAAAGGGCTTTTATGATATGGTTTTGTTTACAAGCTTTGAAAAGGATAAAAAGTAGTAACAAAAGTGCTGTCGTCTTGTACAGCTGGAGCCATTCCTAATGGACTGAGCACATGGAAATAGACTCTGCACTTACAGAGGTGAGTGCAAAGCATTTCTTAATGACAGAATAATTCACTGCAATTAGGATGTGACCAGAGCGCAAGCAGAAAAGGCTAAGCTCAAATTTATCTCTTACAATTGAACTCAGAAACAAAATGCTAGCTTAACTTTAGGTCAGAAAAGAAAAAAGAAACCTGGATGTGACTACTATAATAACATGTTAAAAAAGACCATAAAAGCTATTACACAGCAGAAGAGTAATAGAAAAAGCTAAAGCAAAACAGCAACTTCAAACCTGGTTATTAATCTCCATGAGAGCAACTACCTCTATCTATTAAGCATTTATAGAGTCAGTACCATGTCCTAGAGTCAGTATTAGCACATCTATGACCTGAAATTAGCAGCACTTGACTGTAATAGCCCCAAAATGCACACAGGCTATTATCAGTGGTTAAAGCTTACTAAAGAGTCTTGGGAATACAAATTACCAGCTCTACCTCTGTGTAACTTTAGTTGCTTGAGATGACAAAGTTTATCCGTGATACTGAACAGAGAGCTCAGTTCTCTATGTTGACCCGTGGTCTGTCTCTGTCTTGTAGTTACTCTCTCAGAATTACCCTTTCAGCTCTTTGCACTTTGCGTACTGTGAACAATTGCAGTTTCTAAACATGTGATCAAATCAGATATATCAACATATTTGTGCCTACAGAGTGCGGGCACTGCTTTCAGCATGACTGCTTTAGAATGGTCAAGAGAAAGAGTTCAGGTGATGGGATGGAGAGAAGTCAGTGGGTGATAGTTTTTCTTTCCTGTTTGGATCACTGAACCAAGGAGTTCTCAAGCTTTCTGATCACATCTGAAAATCACTAGAAACCATATCTCATCATAAAAACTGTTAAAAACCTCTCTTCCTCAGAAGAAGAACAACAAAAAGAATGGAAGAGACGGAGTTAAGGATGAAAACAGGCAGAGAAGGTTTGCTTTTGATAAAATAGACATTGACTTTGTATTGCTGTTACTTATGCTAGACACTGGCTGCTGGCTAATTTCTTGTAGCCATCAATTAGAAATGAACTGAAGAAAGAGCCTTTAGCGACATTAAAAATCAGTTTCTGAAAGAAATGTCATGTCTTATAAGCAGAGATGAAGAAAGCTTTGTCCATTTACACAGTACTTAGAACAAAGAGGCTCATTCACTTGGGGCTTCTTGAT